TGAGTAACAAGACACATCATCCATATACTTGAGCTTCTTTTTTTCCATAAATAGCAAAAATTTATTATTATTATTATTATTTTTACTTGAGCTTCTTGTCTAGAGAAGGGATATAAGCTGTTGTGTTTGCTTAATCAAGCACACTAAGAAATTCTATGGCAGGAGAACAAAGAAGTCTTTACACAGGTTGACCAGACAAGTGAGTCTAGGCTAGACAAAGCAGCTGACAGTTTAAACACAGCTCAGAGGTCCAAGAGGCTGTTTTTTTTTAATGTTGCAAACTCATCATTACTTTGCTTCATGCTCAAGCAATGCAGGGGCATATGCACATCATAGTACCTTATCATTGTGGTTCTAGGAAGTTTCCTATAATCAGCATCTTTTTTAGCTTAAAATAGGGAAGTTCATCCCAAGTGCAGACAGTTTGACTATCTTTTTTTATTTTTGCTTTTTGGGTCACACCCAGTGATGCTCAGGGGTTACTCCTGGAGGTGCTCGGGGGACCATATAGGATGCTGGGAATCGAACCCGGGTCGGCCGTGTGCAAGGCAAACATACTTCCCACTTTGCTATCACTCCAGCCCCAGGGCAACCATCTTTAAATTTTTCTACCCACAAATAAAATTATCTCATGTTATAAATAAATTTTAAATCAAAGATACACACATAAATTTCCATAATAACAACCAGGACTGATAGGAGATGGCAGAACCATAAAAGAATAGTACAGGGTGATCTAGCAACATATTAAAAGTGCACAGAAGCTTGGGAATTGTATAATCCTGGAAGGCAGAGACCCACATGTTCAACAGTCATAGGTAAAGACTGAAAACACAGAATATTTGCATTCCTAAGAACCTCTCCACAAACTCTCTGTGTTTTCAAGCTAGAAGAAAATCTCCACTGCCAACAGTGGCTTAAAGAAAATGCTTTGGGGAGCGGATAGTAAGTTAGTATGGTGCTTGCCTTAGACTCTGCTGACCTGAATTTGCTCCATGGCATCTCATATGGTCCCCCAAGCACTGCCAGGAGTAAATCCTGAGTTCAGAGCCAGGAAAAACTCCTGAGTATCGCCAAGTATGACCCAAAAAACAAACAAAAATATTTTTTAAAAATGTTTTAATCGAATATCCATGAGATAGACCATTATAAAACTGTTCATAATTGGGTTTCAGTCATACAAAGATCAGTCATACAGTTCCTCCACCAGTGTACGTTTCCCACCTCCAATGTCCCCTGTTTCCCTACCACCATCCCCCCACACCCCATCTCTACCCTCAGCCTCCTTCTATGGGAAGCACTTTCCTTCTTGCTCTCTCTCCTTTTCCTCAACCAAAAAGTTTTGAACTTGAAAGCAAATCAGTTCCAGGTCCAGCAGTCAGCATTATATGATGCAACACCTTGAATTTCCTCCTTGCAATTTCCTTATTTATAAATTGGAAATAATAAAATAATTCCATGATTCAAAGTTGATAGCTGTAATTGCTGCAGGAACTGTTAGAATCTCTGCACATATGGGGAATACATATGCCTTTCTCATATTCACCCAAGCCATTTTCTTATCTATAATGAGAAAATGAGACAACAATGTGGGTCTCAGGCACATAACTGCTAGTCATGGGTGAGCTTGTTCATAGTAGAACCATAAGTAGAACCATAATTGGTTGTTACTTTCTTTGTAGTCACCTGGAGACTGAGTTGGGATAGGAAAGGTGATGACTGGACTAAAATCATAAAAATAAATAATAATAAAGAAAAGATATCCTTTCATAGACCTTTCCTTTCCCATGCTTCAGGATCTCTAACATGACATGACACTGTATTAACTTTCTTGAAAGCTTACCAAAGTGTTATGGGCAGGGCATCATTTGTTGTGGTTTTATCTATAGAGGCACATCAGGAGAATTGATCACTTCCCACTCCACGCTCTGAAGCATTCTATGAGCTCCCAGAAGTTGACGAGATATAGAATCAGGTCTCAACTTTATGATGCTACCGGGTATTAGGCTAGCTTGTTGTTCAATCTTAAGACAAACTAGAAAGTAAACTAGTGAATGGAAAGCTGTGTTAAACAGTTAGGAAAGATGAAATCATGAAATTTGCTTATAAGTGGATGGTCATGGAGAGGAGAGTATCATGCTAAATGAAATGAGTCAGAAAGAGAGGGACAGACATAGAATGACTGCACTCATTTGTAGAAGATAAAATAACATAATATGAGATTGGCACCCAAGGACAGTAGACACAAGGGACAGAAATATTGCTCCATAGTTGGAAGCCTGTCTAATGAGCTGGGGGAGAAGGCAGCTGAAATAGAGAGGGGATCACTAAGTTAATGATGGTTGGATGAATCATTCAGGATGGGAGATATGTGCTGAAAGTAGATAAAGGACCAAACATGATAGCCTCTCAGTATCTATACCGCAAACCATAATAATACCCAAAAGCAGAGAGAGAGAGAGAGAGAGAGAGAGAGAGAGAGAGAGAGAGAGAGAGAGAGAGAGAGAGAATGGGGGAAATTGTCTGCCAAAGAAGCAGGGGGAGGGTTGGAAAGGGGGTATACTGGGGACATTGGTGGTGGAGAATGTGCACTGGTGGAGTAATGGGTGTTCAATCATTGTATGACTGAAACTCAAACATGAAAGTTGTGTAACTGTATCTCACGGTGATTCAATAATTTAAAAAAAAAAGCTGTGCTGAACTAAAGAGATGTAGCATTTGAGAACAGGTTTAAAATATGGGTGCTTGGCTTGCATAGAGCCCACTCTGGTTTCATCCCCAGAAATTCCCACGTTCCCTAGAGTACTCCTAGGAGTTATCCCTGAGCACAGTGAGAAGTAAGTCCTGGGCACAGCGGGTGTGAACCCAACACCTTCCCCTGCCTGTATGTGTATGTGCATGTATGTACATATATGTGTTTGTACATATGTGTGTATCTACATTGCTTTATTTGGTTCTCACTCATTCCCATTATTTTCCTAGTCATTTGACAAATGGAGAACTAGGACAACAAAGCAATTACTAAGGACAAGGACAATTTCTAATTGATGAACGAAAGAGCTGAGACACCCTTAGGAAACTTTTGGGGTGTGGGAGTGCCTCACCACGTTCTTCCTGGCCCCCCACGCCCGCCCCTCCACCTCTCCAGCCTGTCGAGGTCGACCTGCGGGCGCTCTCTGTCCCTCAGTCCCAGACCCTTCTGCCCGGCTACTGCTTTCTGCTCTCTGGTCCTGCCGGCTCTGGCCGCGGTGACTGACAGCCTCCCTGTCTTCCGTTGAGCCTCCGCGGCGCCTGTCGCGTCTTTGTTTGGAACACTGCTGAGCCTGAGAATGAGGGAGGAGGAACTGATTGTATTAGTAAGATTTTAAAACAAACGATTTCCTAATGTGTATCTGTTTCGTGCAGCGTGAAACTTCGGTAAGCAGAGCCCTCGGTGCTGAGCCCTTCTTTCTGCTGTCTCCCACCCATCCCGTCGTGCCCGGGGCCTGACTCCCACCATCCTTCCCTCCAAGCCCAGACAGAAGAGCCGAGCAGACAAAACAGCCAGGGCCCAGGGTAGGAGGTTGTTCCACAGCTCGTGGCTGGCGTTGCAGAACGTGCAGATTTTCCCATTCATAAAATTAGCATCCCTGCCCGCGGACTCCCCGCCAGCCCCACACAGTCCAACGGCATGGGACCCGGGTGCTCGGTTCCAGGGCGGGCAAGGGGTTCACATCGCTGCAGGGAGCCCTTCTCACACAGAGCCTGACATTGGCGCTCAGGAACCCTCTTGTTTGAAATGAAGACTCAAAATGGCCTGTGGTTCAATCCACAAATAAAACCTCACCCTTTGACTTCAGCCTGTCCGACATTTTGTGACTCCCATTTGTGTGTGTGTGTGTGTAATATCATAGAATTAGGGAGACGCTGTCAAATCATACTACTGGCCCGTTTATAAACAAGCGGTATTTTAGGTTGCCGGTTTTATAGTGGTGGGTGGGGGCACGGGAAGGGGGCAGGGGAAACAGCGGCAGGAAGGGCGGAGCAGGGGGGGATTGCACTAATTCAAGACGCAGTCGCCTTCGAAATAATCAATTGTTATTAACAATGATCCTCTGCGAAACGCTTAAAATTGCCCCTTGACTCCCCTAGCAGCAAGCGGCGAGCCCTTATTCGCTGAGCTGTCGCCGCCTCCCCGCCCTCCCCACTACTCTCGGCTCTGGAAATTACAACTCCGCGGCGCTGGGAGCTGGGAGGCGGAGGCGAGAGGAAGGAGGGAGGCCGGGGGGGGGGGATTCCCGAGCCAGCCAGACGCTCTGCCCTCCGCCAGCCGGCCGCAGCGTCGCGCGGCCAAGGTCAGAGGCGCCCGCCCGAGCAATAGCTGCTAAACAGAAGAATCGGATCCATTCTGACCTCGTGAAGAGCGCCCCAGGGCGCCATCGGCCCTAAGACAACAGCTGCCGGGGTAGGGGCGAGCGAGGGTCTCCAAGCAGGCGCCTTCGGGCCCGAGGATCGCGAGCACCCGGGCCAGGTAGGTGGTGGCCCCACGGCGAGCACCAACCAGGGGAGCCCGGAGCTCGTCCCCCTTCTTGCCCCACGGGCGCTGTCCGCCGCCTCGCGGTGCTGATCCCCCGCCTTGGAGCCGAGCGGCCTGCACATCCGCCTTTGCAACGTCGATCTCCCCGATCAGGGAGGGGCAGGGCCTAAAATGGGCAATTGCTCAGTCTAGGACACGGGTTAAAACCCGAGAGCTGGAGAACAGCAGCCCGTCCGCGGATTCTGATGTGAAGAGGAGACGCGCGCTGCAGCCAGCGGCGGCGCTGGTGCTGATTCATCACCTAAAGCGACTTGCAGGCCATCGCGAGGGCAGCCGACCAGCCCCGGACCGTAGCCGCAAGTTGAAGCCGCTGGTGCAGGAGGCTGACGGGCAGAAGGTGAGGACTCCTCCCTTTTCTTGCCCCAGGTCTTCTTCGGGTGTTAGCCTCCAGACAGAGAGGGGCGTGCCCCTGAGCTGCGAAATAGTCCTGCCCATGTGATGACTCTACCTTCCATTTCACCCCTGCAAGCATATTCTCCGCTTGTCTCCGGAGCTCGTGCCGTTCCACCCTCTGTCCTGAGCAGCTGGGACAGCCCGCGTCGAGATGGAGGAAGAGTTGAAGTGCCCGGTGTGTGGCTCTCTGTTTCGGGAACCCATTATCTTGCCCTGTTCCCACAATGTCTGCCTGCCTTGCGCTCGCACCATCGCAGTGCAGACCCCGGACAGTGAGCCGCATTTGCCTCAGCCGCTCCTGCATTCCCGGGTGTCTGGGCTGCAAACGGGCGCTGTCGCTGCCGCCGCCGCCGCCGCCGCCGCCGCCGCCGCCCCACCCCCTCTAGACCACGACGCGGTTGCTGCCCCTTCCTGCAGCGGAGGGGCCGCGAGCTCAGCGGGCGGCCTGGGCAGTACTGCGGGAGGTGGTGGGGATCACGTCGACAAGCTGAGTCTCTACAGCGAGACAGACAGCGGTTATGGCTCCTACACTCCGAGTCTCAAGTCCCCCAACGGAGTTCGCGTGTTGCCCATGGTGCCCGCGCCACCGGGCTCCTCGGCCGCCGCGGCTCGGGGTGCCGCCTGCTCCTCACTGCTGTCGTCCTCCTCAAGCTCCATCACGTGCCCGCAGTGCCACCGCAGCGCCTCGCTGGACCACCGCGGCCTGCGAGGCTTCCAGCGCAACCGGCTTCTCGAGGCCATCGTGCAACGGTACCAGCAGGGCCGCGGGGCCGTGCAGGGGGCGTCGGCTGCGGTCGCAGTAGCCATCTGTCAGTTGTGCGACCGAACCCCGCCCGAGCCGGCTGCCACTCTGTGTGAGCAGTGCGATGTGCTCTACTGCGCTGCTTGCCAGCTGAAGTGCCATCCATCCCGGGGTCCCTTCGCTAAGCATCGCCTGGTGCAGCCGCCGCCGCCGCCGCCGCCGGCGGCGGCGGCGCCTGCTGAGGCCACCTCTGGGTCCCCTGGTGCTGCCCAGGGCGCCCCAAGCGGAAGCAGCGGCTGCAAAAGCCCTGGGGGTGCAGGGGCCAGTGCGACCGGGGCTAGTTCACCCCGCAAGTTTCCTTCATGCCCCGAACATGAGATGGAGAATTACAGCATGTATTGCGTGAGCTGCAGAACCCCAGTCTGCTATGTGTGCCTGGAGGAGGGTCGGCACGGCAAGCACGAGGTGAAGCCGCTGGGGGCCATGTGGAAACAGCACAAGGTGAGAGCTAGCTGGGCAGGCCTGCGAGCAAGGGTGCAAAGAAGGTGCCAGGAGAAGGCTCTCAGCCTCTTTCCTGAGATTTGCCCAAGAGTCTAGGAGGAATTTCTTCTATCCTCCATTCCTTTCAATTTTCTTTTCTTGCCTCCCTCCTTCCCTCTATCATTTGGCAAATAGGAAAATGAACATCAAGTACTCTGGGTTTTTGTGGTAGAGAGAATATGGAAAGATGACATACTCAGTGTCTGCCCGAGATTTTAGGACACTCAGAACCCAGAAGCAGGGCTCTTCAGTCCCAAGCTAAGATTGAATGAGAGATTTATATCAGTCCCACTCCTTCCCTCTATAAACACTTAATTTTTGTTTCTTTTAAATAAGTATTACCAATTGCACTGAGGAAAATATCAGATTGGTTTCTGCACTTGGTCTGTCTTCTGTACAAGCAGAAGTACTCTATACCAGCCTTCAGTGAGGGAATACAGTTTCATCTAGAACAGAAATTCTATCAGCTTTCAGAGAAGAAAGTTACCCAAACTCAACTAGTATTCAACACTTTCCAGCCCTAGTGCTGTTCAGCCTAGAGGGAGATGACATTTCTTAAAGGCCTTGTTGGAGATGTGCCTTTTAAGAAGGGAGCATCATTTCCCCCCAGAAACCTTCTCTTACTTGTAGCAGTAAGAGAGATGTAGCAGAGGATGCATGCTGAGGTCACAGAGTAAGTTAATAAGACAATGAGGCACACTTTCATCTGCAGATAGCTTTCTCCCCCTGGAGCTTGCCTGGATATGCCATCTTCCAAGTGGAAAGGAAACAGCATATGAAGGCAACTCAGAAAATTTGCAACTGCCACTATGTGTCCCAATATTTAACAGGAAAAGAAAACAAAAATTCTTCAAAATCAGGTCAGGCCCTCGGGCAAAATGAGGTCAGTTCTTTTCATGAATATTTGCCTTATTTTCCCAAACAAGGCCAAAATGTGTCTAAAGTCAGAGTCAGGCCTGACAAAATGAGAGTCTCTCATTCAAAGACCTTAAAGTGCTTCTGCACATTTGAACACCCTTTTTCCTTGTCCTTTTTCATTGTCCTTTTTCCTATACACTCTCATCACCAAAAAATGGACTGCAATTTTCCATGACTATTTTATATCAACCAACTGGAAATGGACAATAAGAGAGCAAAAATGAGAGAAGGAACTAACCATTCTTGGCATAGAATTTATTATATATTTAGTTGCCACATAGATTTTCATATGTATATTTTATTTTAACATTTTAACTAAAAATTTAGAAAACAAATAAGTTTAGAATTTTTACCCTGGAAAAGAATTTTGTTTAGTAGAACAGGGGAAAAACAATTAGAGTCAAATTTCTAATTCTAACTCTAGAATAGTGGTTGTTATTTGTGGAAATTTTTCTCTCCCTCAGTCATTTTACAATGTTTGGAGACATTTTTTGGTTCTTCTACCTAGGGAGTGCTGTTGGAATGTAAGTCAAGGCTAGAGAGGCTGATAGACATTTGACAATGCTCAGGAAAACTTTCCAAAACATTATACAGCCCCAAAAGTCAATATTGTCTCTTCTGGGAAATCCTGTTTTACACTTATAGAAACCTGGATACATAGCTAAGGGTTTTTTTTTTCAATCACTCACTATAAGTAATCAAATACAAGTTGAAACCCATTAAATAAAAGTATCTATCCCAGGATAAGAATAAAGTGTAGTACTATTGGATTAGCTTCTACCATGGTAACTGCCCACAGTAACAAGTAGATGTTGTTTATGATTTCTTTAGTTCAAATACTTAATGCCAGTAGATTTCAGAAAGATACAGGAAAGTATCAGCAAAAATTACCCATTTCGCCTGAGTCAGTTACCTGGAATTGGTAAATTTAGGTTTGGTTTATTTTGGGTTCTAAAATTTCTTTGAGATCAATGAAAATGTCTACTATGAGTTAGTTAGCATCTGTATCACATTTTGTGGCATAGTGCTTCACCACTGTCACTGTCACTGTCGTCCCGTTAATCATTGATTACTCCAGTAGTATCTCCATGTGTCCCAGCCCTGAGATTTTAGCATCATAAACTTTATACTCTCTTTCCGCGGATGCAGTATGCCAGCTGGATGTCCTTGGGCATAATGGTGATGTGATTGGCGAGAAATGCGCAGAGGTTGGTGTCCTCAAAGAGCCTCACCAGGTAGGCCTAGCATGCTTTCTGCAGCGCCATGATGGCTGAGCTCTGAGAGCACAGGTTGGTCTTGAAGTCCTATGTGATTTCAAGCACCAGCCACCAGCTGGCGGATCTCGCATAACTCCACGTTGTCAGGCCAGTAGTGGTGTGGCTTCTTCACACCACCCGTGGCTGGCATGCTCTTGCAAGCCGCCTTGGTGGCCAGCCTCTTACAGGTCGCTTTCCCGCCCATTGACTTGCGTGCTGCCTGCTTAGTACAAGCCCTCTCATTCTTCCCAACTCAGGTGGAGACTCCGTTAGGGTTAGGGAAATGGAACCCATTTTAGTTACTGTTGTTGGCATATTTGGTACATCACGGGTGGTTTGCCAGGCTCTGCCGTGGGGGTTGGATACCCTCGGTAGTTTGCAGGGCTCTCCAGGGGGAAGATGGAGGCTTTTGGGTATAGTGCTTCATAGTAATTGGAAATACTTTTATTTCATCTTTCAAGAGGATACATGTAATTTTTCAAATATAGATATAGTTTGTAAAGAGATTGTGATAATTTTCCAGGCCAGGAAATATAGGATTACACTGATATTTCACAAGTGGTTTTAAGTTTTCACAGCCTAATCCTGGGCATTGCCCTCTAAATACTTAGATCTAGTGGAGTGAAATTAAAAATGAATTGAGGTTTGAAATTCTAAAATAAATTGAACTATTTTAAACTTATTAAACTATTTTAAGTTCTAAAATAGATTAAAGAGAATGTGAGCTACATAAAAAACTATGGTTTCAAAAATCAAGACTAGAAAAATCTTTGATCATCTTTGAATTGGTATCAGCAGCCTATATATAGAATTTCTAACTTCAACCAAAAAGTTATGAAGAAATATAGAGAGCACTATGATATTAGTTCAATAGATTGGGACAGTTGCCTGTGAGAAACATGACTATACTGAATCAATTTTATATCTAAAACCACTGTTTCAGAGAACAAAGACATTCCCCTAACTCCAGAATGAAGATCAGAAGGTAATTTTGTGAAAACTTGTGTCTAAAAATGAAAAGAAGTTCTGCATCTCTTTCAGCTAGTGTTGTTTTTCCACAAAAAGGAAAGATACTGAGTGCTTATTATGAGCATTTCATCTAGGGACTGGAATAGAAAAGAAAAAAATCAGAGGAAGTGCTGCTAGAGGTGAACAATCTGTAAAGTGAAAGATAGAGAACATTCTCTCATTCTGGGTGTGGCAGTTTAAACTCTTTAGTAAAGCTTAAGGTTCCTAAGTGTTTTGTCTGTTTAATTCATTAAATAATCCCAAGAGTTATGACAAAGGTTTATTGCACCACCAGAAATAGGATTGGGACAAGAACATTTCCTGAATAGTCCTATCGTTAGAGAAGCCTTCATCTATGCTTCATTTTAATTTCTCTTGAGTGTGACTAGAGTTTGTCATCTAACTTGTGATTCTTAGGTAAAGAGACATAAAAGTGGCACTGAAATCTATTTTAAAATTGGATACATTATCGCTTTTTTAAAAACAGTGTAAAAATTTTAGGCTATAGCTAAACACATTTTTTAGATCATTATTCCAGGAGAGAAGAGGGACAGACATAGAAAGACTGCACTCATCTGGGGAATGAATATAAAGTAACAGAATAGGATATAAACACCCAAGAATAGTTGAGATAAGTACCAGGAGGTCTGTTCCAAGGCTTGGAAGCCGGCAGCACATGCTGGGGGAAAAGGCAGCCCAGATAGAGAAGGGAACACCAGGTAAAGGGTGTTTGGAGGATTCACTCAAGATGCGAGATGTGTGCTGAAAGTAGACTAAAGATCAAACATTATGGCCACTCAATACCTCTATTGCAAACCACAACACCCTAAAGGAAAGAGAGCAAAAGGGAATGCCCTGCCACAGAGGTGGGGGCGGGGAGGTGGGGAGGTAGTGGGAGTGCTACTGGGATCATTGGTGGTGGAGAATGGGCACTGGTGTAGGGATGGGTACTTGATCATTTTTCCTCCATAGTCTACTTGAGTTTTTAACTATTTACACACTTTTGCTGTTGGGATTAAAATAAGTAAAAATTCCTGGGAAGAAAATTTAACAACATAACTAGTTGTTTCAAACACAAATTTATGTGTGTGGGGGGGGGGTAGGTACACATGACTACTCAGGGCTTACTCCTGGGTCTGCACTCAGGGATCACTCTTGGTGGTGCTCAGGGAAACATATGGGGTGCTGGGATTGAACACTGGTCAAGTAGAGTATGGAGGAAAAAGCAAAAGTGAACTATCTTGTTTCTAGTTATTATCATTGTTATTTTGATTGAATATTGCCAGAACTACTTTTTCTTTAAAGTTAATTAAATTTTTAAATTATTTTGTTTACAAGTGTGTAAATATTTGTATCTGGGAGTTACAATGAAACTATACCATATCAATGACCCAAAGACCAACATTGACCTCTGCCCCAGTCCTCTAGACTTTTCAGCCCACCTTAATAACTTCAGGCCTGTGACCTGAGGTTAGAACTGTTTTCCAAGAGATCACAGTGTCTAGTTGCCCCACATCTGTGGCTGGGCATTCCCTTTTGCTCTCTCTTAATTGCTAATTAAGAATCTGTTTCCCACAAAGAATTGGCTAAACTTGTATGGTTATTTTCCCAGAATCCCTTTGAGTTTTAAACTATATTAAATGACCAACTTTTCAGAACACTTTTTGGTTTAGGGAAAAGAGAAGTGAGAGAAATGCTTAGCAAAAAAAAAAAAAATCTGAGATGTCTAAAATCTGCAACTCCATAGCTGATTCTATCTAGCTCCAGATTCTAAGCCAA